AACTAAATATATTAGCTTTCAAGTGGTTTCCTCCCCTGAATAATTTGATTTAAGATCTCACTACTATTGAGAAAGTACCTGGTCACATAGTATAGTTGGCGACAGCCCAAATCTGGATCTGCAAAATCAGAACCACCGAGGATAAAGACTTCTCGCCATCCGCCATTACTTCCTCTAAACCCACAAACACACCAAAACATTAGAAATGGTATCTTTCTTTATAAAGACAGAACATTAGTAAGTAATGGAGGAAGCCACCTGTCTCATAATAGCTTGGATCTCCCTCATGATGTCCTTATCACTCTTCTCCCTCGATACACTGAAAAAAGCCAAAAATTCAAGATTTAATATCCTGAAAACAAAACTTCAAAAACAGTAATCAACATTTCAAAAAAGACAGACCCTTTCTCAACAACTTTAGAATCAGTATCAATATGGAAGTTCCACCTCTCCAAGACTTCACCAGTAGCTTTGCTCATTATCACCAACACTACTCTCTGCAACTTCCCAGCTTCAAGCCACTCTTTATAAACATCACGCAACAGTATATGATCACTCTCTCTATAAAACTCATAGACAAAAAAAGAAAGAATCTTTTTTTTTTTTAATTACTGGAGATATGTGAAGTGAGATTTGATAAGAATGATTTGACGGATTCCTCTTCACCTGAATAGAATCCTAATTTTAGCAGAACTTCCTATCACATAAAGAGAGAATCAAATTCACATACAAAAATCATCAGAACACTTTCAACCGAATAAATCATTTCAAAATCATCATCAGCCTAATCTTTAAACATCTGTCTTCTATAGTTCGATACAATCAATACTAACACAATGGATATTACTCGCCTTTGGGTTCTAAAACTGAGAGAAAGATTTTTGATATATTGCAAGCAGACCTGCATTAAGGTTCAGGAGGCCGATTCTGTCGGATATGGTAGAAGGGTTTTGGTGTTTTGATGGATCGATGAGTTGTTGGAGGAGGGAGGATGATGAGGACGGAGGAGCGGTGGTGGTGGTTGTTGGTTCTGATTTGCGGGATTGATCGAGCTCTTCGCGGTTTTGGATTCAGAAATCTGGAGAGGAGGACACCCAATCGTTTTGTCGCATGTTTCTGTGAGAAAGAAGACAAGAGGGCCTTACAAAAAAAAAATTAACAACTGAAGCCCAGACGGATTTGGCCCAAACCGGTTGCTGACGTGGCCTTTCCAGCCTGGCGCTGACGTGGCATAGCTAAGAAGGAAGGATACTCTTCTTTATATAATAGATACCACTTGTAAGATATGCAATACTTAAATGTTTCTATAATTTGCTTTAATTTATGTTAAGTTTGTTAATGTTTTTTATTTTTTATGAGTTTTATTAAATGTATTTTTATATTTGTGTAAAATTACTTTTAATTTTATGTATTATTTATTATATTTTATTTTGTTTTGATATATTTAAGTTATCTAAATAAAATTAATAGATGTATTTGTGAAAGAAAATAATTGTAAGGATTAAAAATAAAATAAATAGTAGTTTTGAATAGTGAAACCTCAAATTTGAGGTGTCACTATTCAAAACCTCAAAATTTGAGGATTTGAGGTTTGGTTGGAATAACAAAAACCTTAAAATTTGAAGATTTGAGGTTGGTTAGAGATGCTCTAACCCGATAATGCCATCAGCACGTTGACTGTAGAGATCACCAGTTTCCACATTCTCACAACCGAACAGAGCTCACTGTGGTGTAAGCTGGCTTTCGCGTTCCCAAATGATATAACATCTTCTCCAAACACACCTTTACTACGTTTGTGTTCAGCTTACTCACGCTCGTAAACGCATTTTTCTTTATCGTCGTCGCAGTTACAGCCCATGTTACACTTCTCACTTGTTGGTGGACTAGCAACGGTGATTGTCTTTGGATGTGGTTTCGTATCATGCAGAATAAAATAAATGTGTTTTATTGGGGTTTCATGCCAGAAAACAAGTCATATCATCCCTTCATGCTCAATTTGAACAAACTATTGTAGACAATGAAAAAACATAGAGGGTGGAGGCTAACATAGAAAATGAAAATTGAGTTGGACGAATTTTATCACCTATTATCTTCTTTCAAGTCAGCTTTCTTAGCATAACAAGGACTTAATATATTCAGGGAGACATAGGAAATAGCTCGAGCACGATAATTTTTATCATCTCTTGTAGATCCGTGCATTATCTTAGCTGATCTATGAGAATAGCTTATTTAAGCTAAAACAACAATAAATGGTGATCTTTTGATGTCAAAAGAAAACTAAAACAATCTGGTTAAACTGTAAAATGCTAGATATTAACAAGAAATTTATGACAACTTTAGAAATTCTTCTATAATCAACAAATTGTTTCTTGTAATCATATTTCTGGTTGGTTCTGACACTGTACGATGTATATAGGTATAACAATCTGCATTCACTTCATTTTTGACACGATGATCATCAAATACAGAGAGATCCTAATATGTTTATGAATAAAGATTATTCCATAAATATTATTATTATCCAATTTTAATTCAACTGTACATTCTTGACTTCACCACAACCCAAAAAATGGATTGCTCCTCAAATCCCCAAACCCGATTCGATCACCTAAACTCTCTCTCTCACGTGCCAAAAAAAACTACTCAACCTTAGGCGCGATTCCACTATCATAGAAACCTCCCCCAACAAACCCACCACCACCACCATTGTTGTTTCTCTGCATCTCCGCCATGTAACTCCTCACTTCCGCCTTAATCATCTCATGCACCACCCTCATAAACTCACCCCTCCTCTCCTCTCCATTAATCTTCATCTGACTCTCAAACCTCGGAAACAGCAACGAGTTGTCGCCGCCGCCGCTCGAACCCGCGTTCTTGGCGGGAACCGCCAGCGACAGACTCAACGCCGTCGCCGGATCCTCCTCCTCCTCCGAAGACGTCATTTCCACCGGCGACGCCGCCGCGAATCCGCCTGAAACCGGCACAACCTCCGTGGGACTCTCGGGGCTCATGTACAATCCAGTATCCACCGGAACAGATTCTGAGCTCACCGATCTCCTCATCTTCTTCCCTCGATCTTCCGTCTCTCCTAAGCATTTCCGTTTCAGCGTCGAGTTCCAATGGTTCTTCACTGCGTTGTCCGTACGACCATTGAGGAGACGAGCGATCGTTGCCCATTTATTACCGAACTTAGCGCGAGCCGTTACGATGGTCTCGTCTTCCTCGGGAGAGAAAGGACGATGCTCAACCTCGGGAGATAACTGATTGCACCAACGTAACCGACAAGATTTGCCGGAACGACCTGGGATCGATTTGCTGATCGCCGACCAGTTTCTTGGTCCGTGTTTCTCAACCATCATACGTAGCTGCTCGTCTTCGTCTTGGCTCCATGGACCTTTCACACGATCCGCCATTGAATCGAAGAGAGAGCAGAGAGAAGGTCGAGAAGGTGTGGGGAGGAGAAAATGATATTTATAACAGAGAAAGGGGAAAACGTAACCGGTAACTGATTGAGTCGGTGGAGAAAGTCATGGCCCCATGGGCACCGCTTCTTCCACGCAAGCGGTTTTGAAAGTTTTTTTTTTCTTTTGTGGATACAGCTGTAGGTTTTACACGTGTCGTCATCTCGCTGCGTTGATGTGTCTAAGCTTTCTTTTTTCTGTTACGCAAATCGTACGATGGAGTCGAGGTTGAGAGGGGGCGTGTGGTCACGCGCGCGTGGGGGACGCGTGGTGTGGTGTGGGAAGTTAAAGCGACAAAATCACGGAAACCTACAAGGAAAGCTCTGATATTATTCGCACAATCTGAGGTGAATTTTTAGAAAGTAGTTTTGAAATTAAAATTGATTAGTTTTATTAATTAAAATATCTGGTAATTAAAGATGATAACGGTTAGGTTTGGCCGTTTGGGTAAAGACAGTTTATTATGCATTTTCTGACTTTTGACTGGCCTACCCAGCCTGTATTCCAATATACCTTCACTTTTACATTTTTAAATACAAAACGCCTATTTTGATATTTTCAACTTTTCAAAAATAAAAATTACACTAGTTTAAAGTACTTTCAGAAAAAAAAAAAAAAAAAAAAAAAAAAAGAAACTATACTTTCAGTTTTGATAATCGGTCAAAACTGTGATTACAGTTTTTAAATTGGGAATTATTAGTATTAACTCATTTTTTTCAAAATACTTTAGACCGGCTATTATTATTTTTTAAATGTGAGTGAGTACGAAAGGCATGCCGGGTAAAAGTAACAGTTAATTTTGCAATTCAAAATCATATATAGACATACAGGAAAGGAAACGATATATATAGATGGTTCATAATAATTCGAATTATTAATTAATATTCGGTTTATAAACATGTTAGAAAGAAACGGCCACAAAAGAGTAATTTGAGTGGTCGGGAAATGTTTTAAATTTTCAAATTTGATGACGTGAAGAAAACGACAAAAAGAAGTTGGCCAGTTGGAAAGTGACATCATCTATTACCATTTTAATTAAAAATGGTTTTAAATCTTGAGGCAAATATCCAGGCTGTAATCCGCAACAAACAACTAACTGTCGTCCATTCAGCAAACTGCCACGTGTCAGTTTGGACTCTTTTGAAAAAAGTTGTGTAACTGTCTTTAACGTTAGTAACGCACTTTAGTCCCCAACGTCATCTGCACCTTCCCCCAACCTTCTCTCGAACGGTTTCATAACTATTCTTTATTAGGAGTATTATTTTAAAAATCGTTTTCCTTTTTTTAATGTCAAATTACTTGTTGACAAAAAAATGTTAAATTACTTATAAAATAATAAAAACGATTTAGTGTCAATCATATACGGAATTATAACCATTTATGATATAGTATAGTTTATTAATTTATATAAATATATAACCTTGAATCTTGATACATGAATTGGAATAAACAAGAGAATTTTACTAATTGTTGACGTTCTCCTAGCTTATTATAAAAAAAGAATATAAGTAGTTCCTATAATATTATTGTTTAGTATGGAAATATTATTCTAGATCTATGACTGATGTTAAATTTAGTCTTACGTTAGAAAGTTGTGTGTATTTATATATTATTATTTTTTTCAGAATGCCTTTTCGGTTCTTAAGTTTAGTAACTTTCTTACTGGTTGGTCCTTTCTTGATAATACTCTCTATAATAGAAATTAGCATAAAAATGATAATATGTGCTACAAACGTATATTATTGGGTTAATTGCACGTACATTTGCTGTGTACGCCTGGTGATTGCTAGATTTGAAGGATGCACGTGAACACCTGCTGAGCATATATCTAAATATCTGAGAGGTGGAATTTTCCAATAATTGTTGTGTGGATTGAAAATTTTGTAATTAAAATATTGGTAACAGGTTGTTGTCAAAAGGAACAAGACGGTGCACGATGCAAGACCTAATAAATTATTTATATTTTGCTGTTTGTTGTTACGATCCATGCTTGGATTGTCGGGTTTGTTAAGCTAATTTTCAATTATTTATGCTGTTTAAAAAGAATAACTTTAATTATATTTTTGAAATATGTAGGGTTCCTTTTCGCTAACATAAGATCCTTCAATATATTTATATAGCAATACGGTTTAATTAACAAAAAGATAATACAAACATACGGTCGTAAAATGAGTCGGTGTGTAAGAGAAGAAAACAAATGTATATTGATTGAGTTAATTGTCGTTGGTAGTAATAGACTAATCCCAACTCCCTGTAGATTGGTTTATATTTTTAATATTTTTGAGGATTTCTATATAAATGAAAATAGTATGGTCTTGTCACATACGCGTAAATATGTTGCACACGCGATATATAAGATTATACTTGAGTATCCAATGGTAGAAAGAACTATGAAGCAAATTGCAATAGAGAATTGACTAATTCATTGTTTATATTTTACTGGTAATTATTAACTGTTTGTCAACAATTATTACTTGTTTTAGCAATTTGTTTATCACTAATCAATCGAAACCGTGTAAGAAGGATATATATCATCTGCTTCCACTACAACATTTATTATGGAATATTCTCCATCAAACAATATCGTTAATGAGGTCCCTAAAACATCATTTGTTGATATTTTAGCCACCATGATTCAAGGTAGTGCATTCGAGAATCTCTCTTATTTCACTGCTATAGGTTTAATGGATGAAGTCTAGAACAAGCTAACAAACTCTTTCGGCTTAACAAGGGGTGGAAGAGAGACAAAGCCACCTACAAAGTACCAAGATCTGGACTGAAAGCCAGTATAAGAGAAAGGGAACATGGTCGCCATGGTCATGAGTCTAACTGCTGACTACTTTCTCATTTCATTAATGGTTTCTGCTTAAATTGTTTCATTGATATGAAATTATGACTATGAAAAATGTTCATGCAAGTTTTAATCTGCTATAAGGCTATATAACCTTATCATGTAAACGTTTATATTATTTAATTTGAAAGCTTTTGATAAAAAAAAAATATGTGGAACAAGGATATATAGTTTTGATGACTTTTTGTGTATCATCAAGATCCACATTTTTAACCTTTTTAAACACAAATTCCAGAATTCGCAAAGATCTTATGTTTTCATGAATTCAAGTTTGTTATTTCTTTTCTTCAATAGTACTACAATTAAGCATATATATGATGAGTAAATGACCCACCTTTGTTCTTTTCCCATCGTCTACAAGCTAGAATTTGATTCCTCCCTCCCTCAGTGTTAACTGCCCACTGTAGAATGACCAATACACAAAACACGACTATAATATATCTGCTTTTTTTTTGACAAAGTCTATAATATATCTGTTGTAACATTACTAAGTTTTGTTTTTTACTTTTACTAATCAAGATGATTCAGTTTTATGAAAAACAACGATATTGGCTTACTTATTTTTAATTTACTTCAAAAACAGTCATACGTTAAGTAAAGAGACAATGAAAATGGTTTTCTTACATATTTATAGAAAAAGGAACACATATAATACAGGACTCAAATTTCTACAAGATGTTATTATGTCTAACAAATTCAACAAACAAAAAAACTTAAGTCACATCTTAAATAAGGCCAACTCTAGTGGACACGAAAACACCAAATTTGGTATAATTTCATCTCTAACATAACACCAAAAATGACATCATCCCACTATATTTGGTGTTAGAGTTAACAGTGTTATACCAAATATAGTGTAACACTATTCATCACAATAAATATTTAGTATACATATTTTATTTAATAATATATTTCAACTATTATTATTAATTTGTTCAAATTTGTAACTAAACATAAATAAACTGTATTATTTATATTTTTAAATTATTATTATATATTAAAATTGATTTAATTTATTTTCAAGTAAAAAACTAAATAGTTATTATCATTATTTTATATTGTAAAAAAGTAAAATTTTATAGAAATTTTATATTTTTAATAATATTTTCATATGAATAGTTTTGTAAGCTTGAATATATAATATTTTATATAAAAGAAATACCTAAAAATAATATTTTCAAACCAAAAATATAAATGTAAATAAATTTTGTAAACATAAAATTAAAAAATTTAACAAACATAATAGCTAAATGTGATAAAATAATTATTTATCAATTATAATAACAAAATATAAAAAATATTAAAATTGAAAACATCAAATAATATATAAAATTATTCTTGATGTAATATTTGGTGATATGCTTGGAAATGACAAAAACAAATATGACACCAAAACATCAAATTTAGTGTAATTTTAACACAAAATTTGATGTCATAGTTGGAAATGCTCTACCAATCGTACTAAAAAAAAAAGTTCCTCTCAAATGGTTTTGCATCACTAAAACATCAAAGGAAGCATTTGCTTCCAGCCCATTATTTTACATGAAAATTTCAGCCACAATATTCAATAGTTTAGTGGTAAATTTCTATTTGTAAAATCTTTATGTTCGCCACCAGAAGTTGAGTACACCTTATAACATTTCATCTTTTATTTTTTGTGTGTTTTCCCCCAAAAACGGCCAATTTTTTTGAACTTGCTTCTGGTCTCAAGAACCGGCTCTGGGTAGTATATGCTAAAAGAAAGGGAAAACAAATGCAATATCCATATAGTGGACGTAAGCTAGGTGGATACATTCGTTCTAGTCATCATTCAAAAAGAAGTTGCCATTCTTGATCGAGTCTCGCCTCTCAGACTCTCCGATGAGTTGCATCGTTAGTCTTCATTCTGCATGATGCAGGCCCGGCCCTGTGCATGTGCTGGGGGTGCATTGGCACAGGGCCCATCACTATTTTTTGATTTTTTTGGCCCAAATTAGGGCCCTTTTTAAAAAAAAAAAAAATTTATATGAGAAAATTTTTTTTTTGCCCAGGGCCCATATAATAGTTGAGACGGGCCTGGCATGATGTATTATGTATATATAATGCATGCATTGCAATCTTAGTTATGAGAACAAAGAAATCAATTTTCAATGGAAAATACATCTATAAC